AAATTGTGGGTTTGATTAAAAAAAAAAAAAGCCCAAAGAGGTATCATACTTAGATTAGATATATCTACTATTTGGCATAAATTAAACTCTGTTTTTGTGAGCTAGTGATCTCAAATTCTTTTTTTATTATCTTTCTTTAGTATTTGTTTAAAATTTTGAATAACAAATTCTTTCCTTTTACTCCTCTCCCACCTACTGAGAAGGCAAACAAAATTATATCGACTAATTATACGCGTGAAATCATGCAAAACATTTCCATATTAGCCACATGGGGAAAAAAGTGAGAAAATTGTATATTTCAATTTGCACTCAAGTTAATCATTTCTCTCTCAGGAGGTATTGTAGTATTTTTTCATCATGAGTCCTTTGAAATTGTCTTGGATCATTGTATTGCCAAGAATAGGTAAGTCATCCACAGCTGATCATCATACAATGTTGCTGTTACTGGGTACAATGTTTTTCTGGTTCTGCTCATTTCACTTTGCATCAGTTCATAGAGGTCTTGCCATGTATTTTCTGAAACCACCTTCCTGGTCATTTCTTACAGCACAGTAGTATTCCATCATAATCATCTGCCACGTTATTCATCTATTCCCTAAATGAGGGATGTCCCCTCAATTTCTACTTCTTTGCCACCACCAAAAGAGCTACTATAAATATTTTTGTACATATGAGTCCTCTTCCCATTTCTTTGTGTGATCTAAGATCCTTCAGGAAAATTGTATGGATTCCAAATAATTAAGGGATGTTATAACAAACAGTGAGCAGAGCTTGAATGTCTAAGTGGTACATAGGATTTTTACTTTGTCTTCCAGCCTGAAATTATCCCTGTGCAAGTTAACTGGCAGTTTCCAGGAATATAAGGTAGCCTAGCTAGTAGAGAAAAGAGCTGGACTTGAAGTCAGGAAGAAAGACCTTGGTTCAAATTCCACCTCAGGCACTTATTATTGATGTAAAGTTAGGCAAGTCACTTAACCTCTGCTGCTCAGTTTCCTCATCTGTAAAATGGGGATGATAATAGCACCTACCTACCAGGGTTTTTGTGAGGATTTGTATGTAAAACACTATGTGCATGTTAGCTACTATTTATTACTCATGTGATTTTTCCATGTAACTATTACAGGGACAGTATCTTGCATATATTTGTTTATGAATTGTTTTCATTCCCAGACTTTTTTTGCATTGAGAAAGGGCTCATTTTTCTTTTAATCACCTTGGGATGAGAGATCTAGGGTTGGAAGAGACCTTGAAGGCCATCTGGTGCAACCCTCTCATTTTAGAGATGAGGAAACTGAGGCCAGAAAAGGAAGTGACCTGCCTTGAGTCACACAGCTAGTAAGTGAGTGAGGAGGGATTTGAAACCAGGTCTTCTTGAGTCCAGCCCTGCCCACTACAGCATGCTGCTTCTCCCCAAGTCCTCCCAGCTCTCAGTTTGGGGGAAAATGAGCTTAGAGAGGCATACTGTGAAATGACTGTGAAATGATGGTGTGTGGAGTTGAGATTGCATCATTCATTCCAGAGCTACATACAGTCAGGAACTGATGTAATCCTTTTAAACTTGTAATTGTGCTAGGTGGTCATTAGACATAAAGAAAGGGAAAAGTGAGAGCACCTTGAATAGTGGAAAGAGATTTAGAGTCAGGTGGTTCTCACTTGTATTCGTTGTGTCAGTTAACCTAGCCTTGGTTTCCTCTTCCATAAAATGGGCAGATTAATTTGCATTGTAAGGAAATCTCTTTCTTGAGTCTTAAAAGTACCATATAAATAAGCTGTGACTACTACTGCTGCTGCTGCTTCTGAAGATAAAAATCTCCCAAAGAGAAAAAGACAAAACGAGTAATATGAGGCTTAGAGAGAGCTAGAAGTTTCTAGTTAACAGGTAACAATACAAATCACTTTTACAAGATCTAGGATATAGATAATGAAATATCTCCCTGCTTAGCACAGAGAAAAGGGACAGGCTACTTAGGAAAGACTGTTGTAGGAGCAGCTAGGTCACGCAGTGGATAGAGCACCAGTTCTGAAGTCAGGAGGACCTGAGTTCAAATGCAGCCTCAGACCAAACACTTGACACTAGCTATATAACTCTGGGCAGGTCACTTAACCCCAGTTGCCTTTTAAAAAAAAAAAAAAGAAAGAAGGGACTATTGTATGCATTGTCAGTGTGGTCGCTGTATTTCCTTAATTGTTTCTTTATTACAAGGGAAAACTTGTGAACTAGGGGAGACCTGGGTTCAAATTATGTCTCAAATACATACTGATTGTGTGACTTTGGGCAAGTCATTTACCCTTTTGGACCTCCTGGCCTCCGTTTCTTTATCTGTAGAAAATTAGGCTGGACTAGAGATTTCCTATCAGGATGTTTGGGGAGAGAATTCTTTTTTGTTGTTGTTATTAATTTATTTTTAGTTTTCAATATTCACTTCCACAAGATTTTGAGTTCCAAATTTTCTCCCTATCTCTCCCCTCCCCCCCAAAACATCACACATTCTGAATACCCCTTCCCCTAATCTGCCCTCCCTCCTCTCAAACCCCCCCCCTTTCTTATTTTGGGAGAGAATTCTTGCACCTTAAAACTGAATCATTCCTCTATAAATGCTTAAGTATATCTTGTGGCTTAATTACTTTGCTTTCTTAATACCTAGCACCAAGGGAATGGGAATTTTTAGAATGAGAGGATGAATAGGGGCAGGGGAAGAAGAAATTTTGAAACCTAAGAAAAGGTAAAGATGGCCCTAATTGTAGAATGAAAGGAGTAGGAGGGACAGGGCAAGAGACTTAAGAGCAGAGAAACGGTTGAGTTCTAGTACAAGACAAGCTTTACATTTTGACACTGGCCTCTCCTCCTGCAGGAGGTGCCTGAGCACACCTGGCCTTGGAGGAGGGGTGGGTGAGCGAGCGAGCTAGCCACACAAGGTAAACTTGGGTTGGCCGTAGAGAAAGTTTCACAGGTGGAACTCTGAACAAGATTAAGAACTCCGGCATAGTGTTTTTTTATTGCATCAAATAAAATAGATGGGATTAAAATGAAAACAAAAGCTGGTTTAGTCCAACCCCCATGAGGAAATTGGAGCCCAGAGAGGTAAACTAACTTGCTCAAGATCACATAATTAGTAAGTGGCAGACCTGGGGTTCTTTTCCAAGTCTTCTCACTACAGATAGAATGCTCTATGTTTTATTATGGCCAAGTATAAAAAAAAATCTTTGTGGAAATTGTGCATTGGGCTCATTGAGTTCATTGAATCCTAACTAATAGTCTTAGACCCTTGCTTGGGTCTCTTAACAATGAACACATATACATATCCTTCCACCCCCAATGAGAGGAGGAAAAAAAAGTGTGTGAAAGAAATAGGCATAGTCATAGAGCAACCTACCCTGGAGTCAGGAAGACCCAAGTTCAAATCCAGTCTCAGGTACCTACTAGCTGTGTGACCCTGGGCAAGTCACTTAACCCTGATTGCCTCCAATGGAAAAAAAAAGAATCCAAAAAAAAGCAAAAGAAATAGGCATAGTCAAGTAAACATTCCTGCAGTGATCATGCCCAAAATGAAAAATGTCTCAGTCTGTACTCTTGAGACTATGACCTGTGTTAGGAGGTGAGTAAGTAGCATGTCTTTTCATTTATCACTTGTATTATAGATTAAGAACCAAATCTTTCCAAGTTAGTGTTCTTCTATAAATTGTTTTGGTTCTTTCTTCATCAATTCAAATAAGTTTTTGTATGGGGGGGTGCCGTTTCTCAGACAAAATTCACCTTTGCCTCCTAGAGTCAGCTACCTGGCAGCAGTCTTATCTTTTCTTCATAGAGGAACAGACAGTTTAGCCATCCCCTCCAATTAATGGCCCTAAACTGCCTAGAGGAAGAATTGAGGACAGGACCGGGCTTCTTCATAATTTCTTACAGCATAAAACATAGTAGTATCCCATTACATCCATATGCCAAAATTGGATCATGCCCTTCTCTCAAGAGGGTTTCTGTATTTTATTATGGTCCCTATATTTTATTGTATCCCCCCCCAAAAAAAGAGAATACCTTTTCACTGGTTTTATAGATTTTATAGGTTATTATAGGCTCATCTTAGCTAATGTCACTATGGCATTGTAAGACCCTCATGTTATTTGGCGTGCCGTATCTTTTTCTGGGGCTACCCATAGCAGTATTGCAAATAGAATTGGGGCTGGTGTGGAATTTGGTCAGCACAGGGTTATCCAGTATCCCACTGAATGTTTATGTCTGTGATGGGTGGACAATGATGTGGCAAGCAAGATATTTCCACAAAGCAAAGTGGTAGACTTCCCCCAGGGACCATCTTGGACTCTGGACACCTCTCAGTTTCTCCTTGGGAGTTTGAGAGGTGGACTTTAGAGTTGCTACCATTGTCTTATGAGTAAGGGGGCTGGATCTCTTGGTCAGTGGCAGTAAATGGGATTATTCATTGTTCTGGTTTAGAAAGGAGTCTCATTGAGAAGACTCATTCCAGTGGGAACAGTAGCCCAGGGTACTCCAGAATGAAACTGGAGCGGGGAGGGACTTGTTGCATTGAATTCCATGATGATCAAAAATAGAAGAGCCAGGTAGTAACTCCTAGGACCTTGGCTCAGGGACAACTCTCTGGGCAGCCCGAGGTAAACATTAACCCGGGTGCCTGTTCCCTTCACAGCCTGCTGCCACGTGGGCCGAGGGGCTGAGGCATGCGCCCTCTGCCCAGTTCCCTAGGGGCTCTCCCTACAAGCGTTGGGATCCTTCCGTGAGGCTGGGCTGGTCATGGGTAAGGAACAGACCTCTGTGGCTAGGGGACCTGACTAGCCAGGGCCGCAGAGTCCTCGGTTGCTATTGGTATAGCCCGACCAAGGCTGCAGACAGCTAAGTTCTTCCTGTTCATTGTCTCCCTGCCAGTCCGGTGGTGAGCGCGGCCCTTTGCATATCGTTATCTCCCTTGATTTCATCGGGTTCCCCCGGTTATCAGCCCCTCATTAGGTCTCTCCCCTGTTTCGTACAGCTGCAGATCTGGGACACCGCTGGCCAGGAGCGTTTCCGCACCATCACCCAGAGCTATTACCGAAGCGCCAATGGAGCCATTCTTGCCTATGACATCACCAAAAAGAGCTCATTCCTCTCTGTTCCTCACTGGATTGAGGACGTCAGAAAGTACGCAGGGGCCAACATAGTCCAGCTGCTGATTGGTGAGTTGTAGGGCTTGCTTTCCTCTGACTTCCGGTGGGCAGATCAATGCAATTCATTAGCATGTATTAAATACCTACAGTGTACCAAGCCACCTAACCCCGAATAGGGTTAATATTAATATCCATTGCCTAAACCTCTCCTTTTACAGGTGAGGAAACTGAGGCCCAAATGCTTAGAGGCAGAGCCAGAATTTCAACTGAAATGTCCTCACTCTTACTCAGAACCATTGGGGCAAGGACAAGGTGTACACTCTCTCCCACTCACACACACACACACACACACACACACACACACACACATATCAGGGGTTTCTCAAAGTGTGATTTTTGACCAGAACTGTGGGCTAGCTGATGGGGTGGAGGTCAGGAGTCGGAGGATGTCAGGGTGGTCATTATTGCAAAGGTGAGTTATAATGCCACTTAATTAGTTAGCTTTTGATCTGCACTAGGTCCTAAAATACAAGCTTAAATCCACGAATCCTATAGCTAGAAAGGACATTGGAGGTCACCAAGCCCAGTCCTGTTATTTTCTGTGTAAGACAGATGATCGAAGAAATGAAATGCCCAGAGTCCCCCGGGGCGGGGGGAGAACCGGGATTTGAACCCGAGTCTTCTGTCTCCAAAGCCATTGTTCTTTCTACTGTAGCATGCCCAGGACTTAAACATAAAGCCCTACTTTGAGATACTGATTCTTAACCAGTCCAGGGAGAAAAGCTGTTTATTCAGAAGGCATTTCCTGTTGGATCTTACTCCACTTCCATGATTTGTTTTTGGTGAGGCAGTTGGGGTTAAGTGACTTGCCCAGGGTCACACAGCTGGTGTCAAGTGTCTGAGGTCAGATTTGAACTCAGGTCCTCCTGACTCAGGGCCGGTGCTCTATCCACTGCCACCTACCTAGCTGCCTCTACTTCCATGCTTGAAATTCATTCACTAATTTATTAAGCACTTTTATTTAATCTACTGATTCCCCATCTCATTCCTCATGATTATTTCAAGTGTCTTTAAGCCCTCAGCCCCTCTCCTTCTAGTCACAATCATGTTGACATTTTTTTGAGTTCTCCCAATTTTTTGCATCTCCTCAAACCTCTTCAAGCACTTTTTCTTCCTTCCCTCCTCTCTCCAAGGAAATCCTCCTTTTTGCTAAAGTTCATACTTTTACCTGTGCTCCTAATTATACTTTGAGAATCCCAAGATTCTCCTGCCCCGCCTCCAGAATTTTGTCCTATTGATCACCCACGTGAAACATCTTTAATCTCTGCCTTTCTCGGTTCCTATCCATCTGTTTACAAACATGCCTAGCTCTCACAATCCTAAAAAAAAAAATCCCTTGACCCTTCTATCTCATCAAACTGCCATCTGTTCTCTGACTTTCCTTCCCCATCAGATGCCACTATGATTTCCTGCCCGCTCACTCATCAACCCCTGTAGAAACTGCTCTCGAAGCAGATATACTGGCAGGATGTGTGTCTACTCCTTACTGTCATAGGATCTTAGGACCGTTATCCATCTAATATAGTCATTTCAGGAAACTGAGAGCCTGGGAGGTTATATGATTCATTTATCCAAGGTCACTCAGGCATTAAGTGGTAGAACCAGAATTGGAACTCAGGTCCTTTGACTCCCAAGCCACTGCCATTTTTATACCATGATAATTCTGTAAGTATACAGTAAATTCGCCTTTCAAAGCTTCCTACTTGTCTGTTTTCTTCTGACCTTCCTTCTCTTCTCTGCGTTATTTTTCAGTGTCCTTTCTTGATCACTACCTCTTGCTTCGTCTCACCTTCCCCTTCCCCAGTTAAGAAAAATTAAAAACCCTTTAGCCGAGGAAAACCAATCCCCACATTGGTCATTCTAGAGCCATTTTGGAACAGGTAGAATTGGTAGGTAGTTTTTCCTTATGTTAACCTGAAATCTGTATTCTTCCAGACTCGTCTCAAATGCCATCTACCTCTTGAAACCTTTCGTGCACACACCTTCCTCCCTGGCCCCCAGTTTCAAGCTCTTCCTTCTCCTGACTTACGGCATTTTGTATCTTGTCTCACACATATTGTCTCTTCTGTATTATAGGTTTTCCATTTCATGTATATTTTGCATCTCCCCCTGCTGAATTATAAATAAGCACCTCAGGGACCACATGATAATATCTTTGTATTTTCCCCAGCACCTAGTGAAGTGCTTAATCAGGAGCCAATAATTATAATCAGATTAAAGGGGTAGTGAAAATAGAATGAAGGGGATGGATGTGTACAATACTGTGGAGATAGGCAAATAAGTATTTATTAAGCCTGGCCCTTTGCTAGGTGATTAATTGGGCTTGGGAGATACAGGGAGAGGAAGGAGTCAAGGGTGGCTTTGAGGAGTCTAGACAGCTAGAGGAATAGCAGTGTCATTGAGAGACTTAGAGAAGAGGGATGTTTTAGGGGCACCTGCTTTAATTGTGGGGTTAGGGAAAGATGATGAGCACCTCCGGGTCCTTAATCAGTGCTTATGGACTGTATGCAGAACTCTTGTCCCCTAGGGAGGTGTTTTATTTTAATCTTCCTGTCTGCCTCCTTCCCATTCCATCCACCTCTTCCCTGACCCCACCATCCTCAAACCCTAGCCCTGGGGGAAAAGTACAGAGAAGATTCCATCTGCCTGACACAACCTGGCTTCTCCCTCCAGGAAACAAGTCAGACCTAAGTGACCTTCGAGAGGTTCAGCTGACAGAAGCCCAGCTCCTGGCCGAGCGTTACGAGATCCTCTGCGCCATCGAGACGTCTGCCAAGGATTCCAGCAACGTGGAGGAGGCCTTTGTGAAGGTGGCCACCGAGCTCATGATGAGGCATGGTGGGCCCGTGTTCAGTGAGAAGAACACAGACCACATCAAACTTGACAGCAAGGACGTGGTGGAGGGCTGGGGCTGTGGGTGCTGATGGCGGTAGGCTAGGGTGGAGGGCAGGCCGAGAGGCAGCGCCGATACAGATGGAGTGATAGACAGTGCTAATACTGTAGTTTTCTTTGACCTAATGCTAAGTAGTGTTATTGCAATAACTCCTGCCCCAGAATGGGGGACCAATGATTCTGTAGCGGCCAGAGCAGTTATGATTGTGCTTTGCTGATTTTTTTTTTCTTTTTAAAAGGGACATAGTTAAGGCAGTGGGGTCTACTGGAATGGCCATAATGCACAAGGGGAAAGTTTCCCTGAAGGAAGGATTGGGGGTACATTTAGCTTAGCCTCTGAGGTCTCTTCTGGCTCCTTTGCTATAAGGATAACTTATTTGAGGTAAAAGTAGTTTCTGCCCCACATCTTTTGCCTGAGTCCCTTTAAATAAAGCCTTCACATTTCAGGAGCCGTCCACACTCCCAAAGTTACTTGGTGAAGCAAGTGGAGAAAATTGTCCTCAGCTCTGAAAGGGAGGTGATACCCTTTGAGATCTTGAGGTACCACTCCCACCTTCCTCTATCTCCACCCATTTCCCCCTGCCAATCCTGGTTTCTATCATGGTTATTCTGATCATTCAGACTATAATGAGGCCAAGAGCTTTTTTCTTTTTCTTTTTTTTTTTTAGGTCAGCTACCCAGGGGCCCACCTGGGTGAAGTGGAGTTTGAATAGGGTTTAGGTCCTTTTTTTTTTCCTGTGTTTGGTTTTCATACTGTTTTGATGACTTGGTTGTTTCCAAGTGACTCTGGTCACTTCAGGTTTCTTTTCTTGGCCCAAGGTGCAATCTGCCCTTTCCAGGGCCACCCCTTCTGTAAACTGAATTGGACGAGCAGGGTGTGGTGAGTGCCATCTTGGCACCCATCAGCTCAGCTCAGCCTCCCCTCTCTCCTGAGGACCCAAAGTAAGAGGGTGGGAAGAGGCCAGACTCAGACTTGTTCTAGCTTAAAGTTGTGCTGTTTTTCCTAGTCCCCACCTACCTGGGGTTCTTCATTCCTACCCTCTCTGAGCAGGAGTGATGGCTTTCCTTTAAGAGTGATTAAACAGCTAAAATGTTCTGAGGAGCAGGTATGGAGGATGGGGAGGCAAGCCTCAGACAAAGACAAGAGGGAGGAGTTCAGTTGCAATTCCCCCAGACCAGCTGTGATCGTGTATTCTCTTTCTCAGTGGAAACTAGTTCCTGAGAAGTTTTATATTTTTAGAAGAAATGTAAACCTGTTAATTAAACAGAAAGTGAAACTACCCCAGAGGCACAGGGAGGTATGAGGCCCTTCCAGTCTGCTTTTGACTCATGGGTAGGGGAAGGAAAGACTCATCATTATCTTGAGGCCCAGAGATTCAGACTTGAGAATGCTTGGAGATTTCTCTCAGAGCAGTCCCCTACAGCTCATCACTGAGTCAGAGGAAAGAGATAGGGGCAAGGTTGGCACCAACTCATATCAGCTCCCTGTTAGCAGAACAGTGGTGGCCCGAGGTAGGGCCAGAAATTCCCCTCTGCTGCTTTTCTGCCACTCTTCAGGAAATGGGAGGCCCTACTGAGAGTTAGGTTTTTCCTCCAGACTTGAATCTGCTCAGACAATGAAAAGTAAGTTCATCCTATTTCACCCTCCTTGCAAAATATAGCCCCACTCTTCTGGGCACTGTAGGTCTCTTAGAAATAGTTTAGTGAACCCCTAAGGAGCAGCGTTGAAGCATACTAGTGCCACCAGAAGCTTGCCCAGAAGTGGCTGGCCCATCAGGGTTTTCATACACACAGTTTTCTGCTTGGCTTTTATCAGCCAGGTTCTGTACCCCTAGTACTCTGCCTTCATGTTTGTCCCTCTCTGGGATGCCAACGTTGGCCTGCCCGTCACTGCCTCCCTCTTCTTCCCAGGTATCTGATGTTGCCCTCATTGCTACTAGGTACTGAGCCTCCTGTGACTTTGAAATTTAGCTTCCCTGCCTCTGATTCCTTCAGGACCCTACTTAGAGGGACAGTTTTTAACTTTTAATCTGTGAGGTTAATGGAAAATAAGAAAAGGCTTTATCTGCTGTATCTCCAGGCCTTATCTCTTGGGTACCTAGTGAATCTGGGCACATTCTCAGGGGCTTTCTAAAGTCAAAGTGCCCTATTTTTGTTACCTCTGTGTAGAATTTTGAAGGGCAAAAAATAACACATCCTCAACTTACCACTGTGTAATTCTGTCTTCCCACTCTGATAATATAGGCTGCTTGGTGTCCTCAGATACTTTCTTTGGATTTCAGGATTAGAATTCTCCCCATCCATTCACCCCTGAAGGAGGTAGGCTCTGACATGCTCCCACCCTCCCTTCCAGGCTAGACCCTGGGGATGGGTGGAACCAAGCCAGGATGACTGCAGGCATTGCTGAGCAATGAAAGCAGGTTGGAAGAGTGAGCAGCTGCTAGCCTTCCGAAAGGGGAACTCTTCCGTGTTGAGGTCTGTCCCCATTCTGGCCTCATAGAAGGCAGCTACACACAGAAAAAGGTAATGATGATGGAGTTGGCTGAACTTGTCTAGGAAAGGGGGGCCTCGCTCCTCCCAAACTATCCCCTCTCTCACTTCTCTCCCAGGCCTTCTCTCTCCCAAAGCTGATATCTCAACTTTCCCAGAATCTGCATTTCCAAAATCTTGGATTCTGCTAAATCATCAAATCTTAATGATTCGGAGGATGGTTGTGCCTTAAGGAGGTTGTTTGCCTCTTCATGATGTGGGGTGAGGGGACTAGGACATAGTACCTAGAAGCTTTTTTTCTTTCTGGGTCTGGATCAGGAAGACTTCTTCATGCTCCCAACAAAAAGTGCTGGTCTCCAATGCACAGAAGTCCCTCTGTCTTGTCCCCAGTACAGAATCAAGTAGCTAGACTCCTTGAGGGGGTCTAGCCCCTCAAGTAGCATCTGAGATGTGTTTAGAAAAAAGCTGCACTATTACCAGATCTCTCTTAATAGTGGAAAGGGGAGAAGGGGCTGGAGAATATCCCTGGCTATAGCTACCACCCATTTGAAGTTGTAGAACTGCCTGGGTGTTGGGAAAGGAAACCATCCAGAATCTGGAAGCCAGATCTCTCTCACTTCCCCGGGTTATTGTGAGGTAAGGGCTTTGCATATATAAGACACTGGGCAAGGTGAACATAATCATTTCCTAGGGCTAAAATGGGACCAGTGGTTTCTCCTACCCACCTTAGCACGTACAGATTGCTATTTCCCTAAGCTGGGGATAGCACTGTTACTCAGACCATCATCCACTATAGAATCTCCCTTTTCTACAGAGGCGCATGTTGAATTTTTGTCAGCCCACAGCCTTGGCTTGCGTTTTCATTCTGTTGGTTTCTCAGCCCCCCATCTTTTCCTTTTCAACCCCTATGCTGCTGCCAAGTTAGAGTTTACTGTATATTAGTTGCATTTGGGCTGAAGAAAGGGCTTTGGTTAAAAAGGTGTGCCTTGACTACAAGACTTGGGGTAGGGGCGTTCCTGGTCATCTGGGACAGCAGATAATGAGGTTTGTGTTTCTCTTGTAAAAGAAAGGTAACTCTTGGTATCTGTCGTGGCTTTTGTGGAGGATAATTTCAACTTTTTGCTGCTGTTTCCTTAGTTTTAGCAAGGTCCCTTCCTCTATTTCCCTTGACATCATGTCTTGAATTTCCCATGTAGAGTAGAAGTTAAGGCCAGTTTTTAACTCTCCCTTGCCCCCAAAAACCCAGTTTCTCCTATTTCAGTGGCACCTCAGGTTTAGAAGCTGACCACTTTCTTGCTTCCCAAATCCAGTCTAATGCTTATCCTTCAACTTCTCCATTTCTTTTGACTCCTGGCACCCCTGCCCTACTACAGCTTCTGATCACCTCAAGCTTGGATTACACTAAGAACCTCTTTCCTGGGCCTCTGCTCCCTTCTCTTCCCCCTGGGACACCTCCTCCATGTCACCAGACTTATCTTGCCTCAAGTCCATATCTGATACCATTCCCCTTGATACCACCCACACACTCACCTTTGCCTGCTGAATAAATCCCCAATTCAGCCTACCATTCAAGACCTTCCATTACTTTTCTAGTCTTTTCCTACGAGATGTGATCCTTTCCCAGCACTGTTCCTTATTATTGAACCCTGCCTGGAAGTCCCCCTGATTCCCCCGACCCGTTTCACCCACTATCTCCATCCATCAAAATCTTCACCAAACTAGAAGGTCCTGATTAAAGGCTACCTCTTTCCCCAGGTAACAAATCCTCCCCACCCTCCCTTTACTAAGTGGCATTGCCACTTATCAAGTGGTGGTGGTCTTGCATGGATAGCTATCCCCTCTGCAAGCTCCCTGAGTGCAAGGATCCCATCTTATTTAGCTTTGCCCTAGGGCCTACCACAGTGCCACACATTGATAGGTTCTAAGTGTATATTAAATGAATGCAATATATAGATCTAAAAGGAATTGGGAAAGTCGTTTTCATTCCACTTGGGCCTTGAGAAGAACAGGTGTTTCCTTCCATCAGCCTGGTGATGGAAGCCATTAGAGACTATTGGTTAACTGCTTAATTTGGTTTAGGCGAGCCCCAGCCTTCTTAAATGTCCTTCCCTGTGGCACCTCCCCCACCCCCTAGAGTGAGGAGAACCTGTTCTAATCTCTTCCTTGTTTATAAATTACCAAAGAGCAGGGGGAGAGGCTGCTAGGGCCAAGTGCAGCCAGCCAGGCCAGCGGGGGAGGTTTGCTGTTCTGGAAGCAAACAGCCCGAAGTGGACACTGGCTTCTGATGGAATTTCATCTCCAACCAACTCCGACAGGCCAGGCCAGTTTGGGTTTCAGTTGTAGTTAACATGACCCAGGGAAGCCTGGGATGGCCATAGCTTTATCCTAGCATCATGTGGAGGTTTGAGAAACATGTTAAGGTTCGGGTGAGTTTGCCTCACTATCTCCCAGGTGTCTGAACTGTCTTATCTTGGCCATCTGCTGAGAAGGCTTGTTGAATGACCAGGGTTTACATGTTGTAATGTGTTTAAAATAGAAACTGGAAACAGATTTGGGCATTCTCTACCCTGAAGAGGTAGGGATGGGGAATCATTCCAAGACTGTATAGGGTTTTGTTTTGGGGTTTTGTTTTGTTTTTTTTTTTCATTTTTGTGAAACTGCCACCCCCCCCAGATAGCTCTGCCCTGAATCTGGGGGAGAGCATAGAAGCCCTCAGTCTGTCTGTTGGTCCCTCGAGGGCAGAAGGTTGAGATCCAGCATGGAATCTGGATTGCCTATACATGTAGGAGGGAAGAATGCTCTTAATTCATATTGAATTCAATTATTTCATTTCCAAAATTACTTCAGAGATGACAGTGTTGGGTGGCCACCTTTGGGGTCCCCTTTTTTCTCTCTTCTGTCACTTTCTCTGTTTCCTGTAGCTCCTCAGTCGCTTTTCTCCTCAGGAGAACACAGGGAACCATTCTCTTTTTTTGACTTGACCTACCCAGATAAGGCCAAGGCAATTTGGAATGTGAGGCCTTGAGAGTGAACTTTGTATACTTTAGTCATGTTTTGATATTTTACCTTTCATCTATTTATGGATTTATAAACTTTATTAATAAAAAATGTTTATTTTTAAAAAATATGAAACTTGCCTTTTGGAAAATTTTAGCAGAATTATAGTTGCTACATCCCTGTACACCATTAAACAGATTTCATTAAAAAAGAAAATGGACATGCAAAGAGAGCTTTGTTGTTTCTCCATTAGCCTTCCCCACTTCCATTAGGATCAAGCTAAAGTAACCACATCCCTGCCCAGATCTTCATTTCCTGGCTGACAGAGGGTGTATGTGACTGTGTCTGTCTGTGTGTCTGTTTTATAGGCGGAGGAGGTAGCATTACGGCTCTCCCTTCAGGCAAGAGACAGGAAAAAACTATAGACCAAAGAACCAGCAAGGAGCACATAAATTGAGGGGAGGGGGGAGCGGCACATGGATCCTGGATTTTGGAGTCAGAATTTTCAAGATAGAAAGAGACTTGGGAGATCAAATGCCTCCATTTTGAAGAAAAGGGACCCAAAGCCCAGAAATGTTGACTTGCTCAGTTATGCAGGCTTTAGAGGGTAGAAATGAGACTAGAACCCAAGCTTCCTGCTCTGTGGTCCAGTGGACCTTCCCCTAAATACGTCATGCCGATTTCTCATCCCAGCTCTGCCAGTGACTCCCTAACACTTCACTTCCCCTAGTTTCAGATTTTTCTGTTTAAAACAGAGGTTGGAGCCACAGACCTTTCTGGCTTAAATATTCAATGGTCTAAAGGACTGGGGACCCCAAGTTCTGTACTTGTGCCAAAAAAGATAAAGGATTAGACATTTTCTAGTCTCAGATGTGACCTGGAGTGAATCACATGCTAACTGAAGCCTCAGTTTCCTCATCTGTAAAGTGAGAATAAGAATCCCTGCCTTAGGACAGGGTAAGGATCAGAGGAGAAAATGGATGTGAGCAGACTAGGATGCTTTACAAATGCAAAGATTGATTATGATTGTACTTGTACAGCGATGGCACTCGGGAGCATTGGCCTCAAGAGTCATAGGATGCCCAGCACCATTATTAGTAGTAATAGGAGTTAGTGAAACCTGTGCCTTTCGATTCGTTGAGCGCTTGGCAACAGACTGAAGATAGGACAGCCGGCCCATCACTCCCTCTGTACATTCCTTCTCTGAGACTCCTGGTATCTCTGCTGTCTCCAGGACGATGGCATATAATGGGAACATCACCAATGCCTGTTGATTCACTGATGGATCTCCTACATCCCAGTGAGGGAGGGCTCTAAATCTGGAAGAATCTACAGGTTACTGAGTCCACCCCTCTCATTTTACAGATCTGGAAACTGAGCCCCACAAGTATGGTCATACAATGAAAGAAAAAGCATTTATTAAGCCCTGTGGGTCAAACACTATGCTAAAATACAAATACAAAAGCAAAGACAGTTCCTATCTTGAGTTGTTTATATTCTAAAAGGGAGAAACAACACTTGATAAGAGTAGTGGTCATTGGGGGGGGGCGAAGGGGAGGCATTGCTGGGCTTAGATTCAGGAAGACCTAAGTTCAAATCCAGCCATAAGACACTCTTACCAGCTGTATCACTTTGGGCAGTTATTTAACCTGTCTGCCTCAGTTTCCTTAACTGTAAAGTGGGAATAATCATAACACCTGCCTCTCAGGATTCTTGCGACAGTCAAGTAGAGTGTTCAGCACAATGCCTGGCACATAGTAGGCACTTAATAAATGCTTGTTCATGGTTCCAGAACTGCCATGGGGCTTCACACAGTGCTTTCAAAGCCATTGCTCAGACCATGGAGTCTGGGAGTAGGGAGAGAAGTGAAGGGTGGGCAAGGCCTTTGAAATCATGCTCTCACCTACTGGGAAGGAGGACAGGCAAAGACTGGGTAGTGGTGTTGTACAGTTGTTTTTTACGGGCCCTTCTCAGAATCGTGCTTTTTTTTTTAAGTCTTTTTTATTATTAATTTACTTTGATTTATCAACAATCACTTCCACAAGCTTTTGAGTTTTAAATTTTTCTCCCCTTCCTCCCACCCTCCCTCCCAAGACATCAAGCAATCTGATTGATATAAGCTATACATATACATGCGTATTAAACCTATTTTCACATTAGTCATGTTGTGAGAAAGAATTAGAACCAATAGGAGGAGCCACCAGAAAGAGGAAACAAAACAAAACAGAAGAAAAAAAAGAGCAAAAAGCATGCTTCAATCAGTGTTCAAACTCCATACTTCGTTCTTTAGATGTGGATAGCATGTTCCATCATGAGGCCTTTGGAGATGTAGAATCTTGCTTTTAAATGCATATAATAAACTATAGAGGATTACAAAAAAGGCCAACTATACTGAAAGATAGATATAATTTTTTTTTAATTCAGGTTGTAATTTAGACTCTTCATGACGTCTTTTGGGTTTTTCTTGGCAAAGATACTGGAGTGGTTTGTCATTTCTTTCTCCAGCTCATTTTCCAGATGAGGAAACAGAGGCAAACAGGGTTAAGTGACTTGCCCAAGGTCACACAGGTAGTCAGTGTCTGAGGCTAAATTTGAACTCAGGAAGATGAGCCTTCCTAACTCTACCCTCTATCCACTGTGTCACCCACCAGCTGCCCAAAGACTGGGTAGAAGAAGGTCTTACAGGGAGGAAGGAGTTAAAACCTTCAGGGTATGATGTATTCCTCAGACTGCTGGGCGATGGAGACCATGGCCGTAGCCTAGCGAGAGTACATCAGTAGTGAGTGAGAGAGCCAGCATTCAGACTTCAAACCCCTGAGCTTGCTTCCAAGTTCAGTCCACTGTACCATGAAATAAAGGATGGGACCTAGACAATGTAAGTCACTTGCCTGGGGGCAGCCAGCGGGTACTGGCAGAGCCAGCCAGGAGCTAAAACTCTGGTCAGAACACTGATTTCCAGCTCAAACTGGCACAGTTTCTTCCTTTCCTCTTGTTCTCTCCTCCTCTGATCTCCCCAGGCCATCACCCTCCTCCTACACAGCAGAGACTGAAGGGAAGGAAAATGGGGCCAATGGACTGTGGTTCAGGGTCTCTACAGCCCCTCTCTGACCCAGTGCCCCCGTGGGCTCTTGATTCCTCTAGGTTTCCAGGATTAATACCTTTGGACACTTGTTTTGGGGATTGTTCCTGTTTTAAAGTGCTTCCTCTGCCCATCTGCCAGCATCCCATGGACCCTAGGACTGTCTGGCACCCCACGATTCATTTAGCTAAAGTCAACTCAAAAGAAATCGGAATTCTAAACCAGTTCAGTTTGGCTGAATTTAGTTGAGTTGCAGCTAGGTGTAGAAATGGACAGAGTGCTGGGCATCTTCCTGAGTTCAAATCTGGCCTCAGAGGTGGCACAGTGGATTCAGCTCTGGCCTTGGAGTAGGAGGATATGAGTTCAAGTCCAGTCTCAGACACATGACACCAGCTGTGTGACCCTGGGCAAGTCACTTAACCCCCATTGCCTCACAAAAAAGAAATCTGGCCTCAGACACTTACTAGCTCTGTCACCCTGGCCAAGTCACTTAGCCCTATTTGCCTCAGTTTCCTTATCTTTGAAATGAGCTGGAGAAGGAAATAGCAAACCAAACCACTTCTTTGCTAAGAAAACCTCAAATGGGGTTACCAAGAATCCCTTGGTTTGTTCATGACTAGGCCCTGTGATAGAGAAAGAAGAACAAACTATAAAAATTTTAAAAAAACAACTCAAGCTGGGGAAAGTCCCTGGGGGTGCCCTAGCTTAGTCTTCAGGACCTCTTTTTCCCAGGGTTTTTGAGGAAGGGGAACTACCCTGTTCCTCAGAGGGTCACACAGCTCAAGGTCTGGATCTGGGGCCCAGCTAGAGACAAAATTGTAAAGTTTATCGGGGCATGGACCTCACCTCTGCTCCTTTTCCCTTCTCTCCATCAACTCAGGAGAGTGGGAAAATAGCTGTGTGGCCCTAAGCAAATCCCTTGATCCCTCTGAACTGTAGGGTCCTGACCTGTAAATGGAGATGATTAAAACCTGCACTAGAGCTGTAAGGAAAATGTAAACTAACATTTAAGTTAAAAAAAGTTCTAGAGATGGGAGCCCTCCCCCTCTCTCCAGCCACCTGAAACTTTCTTGGGGTCCAGGTCTCCAAGAAAGTCACCCATGTTAAGACATTATACGTCAATGTTCCCCTTCTCAGAAGTATTTGTATTTTTAAAAAGCAGAACAGAGGATTTAACAGATCAATGTTTAATCCAAAGGAATGAATCTGGAAGGGCTGTGGGAGGTGGTCGATTTGTGTTTTTGGATTTTGGGGGGCAGTTAGGTGGTGCAGTGGATGGAGTAAAAGCCTTGGAGTCAGGAAAACCTGTGACCCAGGGTGAGTCACAATCTCTCTATGCCTCAGTTTCCTCCATCTGTAAAATGTAGCACTGGGTTGCTTTTAGGGTCAAAGCACTGTATAAATGTTTTTATTATTGTTGTTGTTTGTTAACAGGGATGGCATTTTTCTAATCAACTGAGGCAAACCAAATTAAAAAAGCAGATACTGCTTATGCAGGGAAAAAAAAAAACAAGAGTGGAAGTGGAACTGTTAGCTTGGGAGTCCAGACAGATCCCTGAGTTCAGTTCTACTTCTGTCCCTAACCAGTTGTGGGGCATTAGCCAGAATCTTTCCCTCTTAGAGTCATTCAACCAACAGTCATTTATTTTATTTTATATTGTACATTATATTTTGAGGCAGCTAAGTAGTGCAGCAGACACAGCACAGGCTCTGAAGGCAGGAAGACAGAGCTCAAATCCAGCCTCAGACACTTACTAGCCGTGTGACCCTGGGCAGGTCACTTAATTTATGTCTGCCTCCATTTCTTTAACTGTAAAATGGGAATAATGATAGTACCTACCTCAAAGGGTTGTTGGGAGAACCACATTAGATAGCCCTTAGCACGCAGTAGGCATTTAACAAATCCTTCTTTACTTCCTTCCTTCCAGCAGTTTCCATGTTGGGTCCTGGGCATACCAAAACAGACATGAAGTACTTTCTGCCTTCAGGGAGCTTACTAGGGAAGACAACTTATACATATCGATCAATCAATAAGCACTTATTAAGTGCCTACTATGTGCCAGGCACTGTGTTAAACACTGGTGAATCAAAAAAAGACGCAAACCACAGCCCCTGCCTTCAAGGGGCTTATAGTCTAATGGGGAGGACA